TCATTGGAATATTTCTAGCCAGGCCCTGAGGTGTTCTGTAGGTGGTTATACCTTTAATGAAATTAATGTTTGAGTAATCAGCATTAGAAGACAGAATCTTCTGTGTGTCTACCTAAGAAAATAATAAGGTTAACTGTTTAACTGACTACTGAGGGTGGAACAAAAACTAGAAGTCAAAGTCAACTTTATTGCCAAGCCATTCCTTTGGGCTGTTGGGACTTTTCTGTGGTGTTGCTCAAAATAACAGAGATACAAAAAAAAAGGTCAGATACAAGAAGAGAAAGAAACATCATAAATAATACATATCATATTCAGAATAATATAGAATCCATGAATTTGCCCATAAATACTTTAATCAATACTTTTGTAAGTGTTGAGTTAAGAGACCAAATAGCTTCAGCAAAGGAGCTCTTCCTGAACTGCTCTGTTTTGGATTTGACAACATCCCAAACTCTTAACCTTCTCCCCAAGAGAGAGAGCTCAAACAGGGGAAAGCTGGGTGGGAGCGGTCACTTACACTCATCAGGGTCTTTCTGTTTAAATGTATTGCGTTTACGGAAGCAACAGATGGCGAGTTGCAGGCAGTTATTTTAGACGCAAGACGCTCAGTCCTCCAGGAACAGAGTGTGAGACTGGCTTAGCAGAAACAGAAAATGCAGTTATAGCTGCTGCTGCCCGGTTGCTATGCATTCAAGCAGTCTGTCAGTGGGCTCAGTCATTTTTGGCATCGCGGCCTTTAAGAAATGTTAAGTGAATTGTGCTGTGGTGACAAAACTAATTTCTGCACCAAAAACTCATCGTGTTTCCCCCGTGTGAGACTGACAGTACTATTATGTGCACAAAAGGATGGAGTGTTATAATAAGAAGTGCCAGTGCCAAATAATTGGAGGAGCTAGGAAAGGAAGATTTCATCTCCACTTCACCAAGGCCCTGTCCAGCTTCCAAGTGCAGATTTAATTATAAGAAGAATTGCTTACACTTATATAACACTTTTCTGGACACTCCACTCAAAGCGCTTTACAGGTAATGGGGACTCCCCTCCACCATCACCAGTGTGCAGCCCCACCAGGACAATGCAACTGCAACCATAGTGCGCCAGTACACTCACCATACACCAGCTCTCAGTGACGTGTAGCTATTAGCTATCAGTTCATAGATGGGGATTATAAGGAGGCTCTGATTGGTAAAGGCCAATGATGCCCAGATTTTACCCCTGCTCTTTTCAAGAAACACCCTGGGATTTTTAATGACTCTCTTTAAAGAGAGTCAGGACCTCAGTTTTACATCTCATCCAAAGGATGGCGTCTTTTTACAGTATAGCATCACCATCACTCTACTGGGGCATTAGGACCCACACAGACCGCAGGGTGAGCACCCTCTACTGGCCCCACTAACACCTTTTCCAGGTAGCAACGTTAGTTTTTCCCAGGTGGTCTCCTATCCAGGTACTGACCAGGCTCACACCTGTTTAGCTTTAGGGAGCTGCCAGTTGTGAGCTGCAGGGTGATATGGCTGCTGGTGAAGTATATATATATGTATATTATCTGTATACAAACCCACAAATGCTAAATAAATGCCTTAGTAGAAAGCAGCATTAACCACAATGAAATACGTGTACTTTCACCTCTACATTTCACCATGGAAGGCTTCACCCCTGTGCCCTGTGCTGGACTGGCGTTCTCTCCAGGTGACCCTACTGTCCGCCAGGTGAGACTGTGGCTCACTGCTGCCCTGTACTGTGTCGGACTAAGCGGTTTTCGAACATGGATGGAGGGAGCTGGCAATGTCCACATTCCCGAGATCACGTTTTCCTCGAAACCAAGGATACCAGGTTAGATACCGCTACTGCCGAAGACAGAATTTGCCGCTATACGAGAAACCCGTAGATTTCGAGAGCCGTGGGCAAGAGCCTTTTCGCCGCAAACAGCCGGATCTCCGGCAGTTGGCGTCAGTGCCTTTAGTCACAAGGGTTCTCTGTTTTAAAAACGGGCTGTTCTTGGTAAAGGAAGAGACTGCAAGCGGAAAAGGTCGCTATTCTGAAACGAGATGCGTAAAGGAAAACGTACGAGGAGGCGAAGACGACTTTCATTAAAGCCAGCGGAAAGGCAGCTTTCCGTCCAACCAGATCGCCCAGTTGTAGTGTCGCATGCAGGCCGCTAGGTGTCATTACGCGGCCGTGTTGCGATGAAGTTCCTGTCGATGGATATATTGAATATCTTCCTTTGCCGACGGAACTCTTTCAGTTAAACTCTGTCGATTATTTAACTGCCTCAGTTCCCGAGAGTAAAGTTGCATAGAAATGTGATAACATTTAACGAAATTGCTAACAGTATCATGTATTGGGAAAAAAAAACCAAAACAAAACATGGCCGTCTTTATTTCAATCGATAGATAAACGTGGGTTCGTTGTACCAGACGTTTTGAGACATGATTGGATTTAAGATATTGCCCTTCAAGGGAAAGAAAAGAAATTAAAGACTAAGGTGGTGGGTTAGGGGGTTACAGCGTCCTGAATTACGGCGTTCGGTTCTGGTTTCCCTTCGCAGTCCTGTCGATAACTCCTGTGAGATGAACTTGCCCCGTTCGCTTCGGAACAGAGGAGTGCTCGGGGCCCGC